AGTTTGGCCCCTTTGGCAGTATTGATTTTGGTAGTGTGACTGTTTCTCATGCAGAGCTGCCTGAGGGCTTGAAGGTCACAGATATTTCCAACAATGGTACAAGTCTTAGTGCCTTACACACTGACAATCCCCCAATCTCCCCGAGTTCTTTTGCAACTGACTGCACTTCAAATGTGGGAAGATCTGTTTCTTTGTAACGTATTTCCACCAATTACATCAGGGACAAAGAGCCGGATGACAGTTTTCCGACCAAAATGTTTGGTGACAATCGCATTTAATGAGGTAATGTAGGTGTGTGTCGTCTGCATAATCCAAGACGGAACAATTCAAACTAAGATTCAACATGGAGTCAAAGTAGCATTTCAAATCAACATGGATGATTTTATTTCCCTCTCGCTGTCTCAACTGAATTAGCTTTTAAATTAAAGATTCCTCAAATCTGAAGAGAAAGAGTGATGCTAAGCAACTGGTGTGCACAACTACACAAGCCGTCTTTCTATATCTTTAATTTTACTTTCTAGGCCTTTCAAGGTTTTGTCTTGTTCAGGGTCAGATCTTCACATATTTTTAAGCCATTCCTTTTATCTGACTCCTTTCAAAAACAATTGAATATTGCTACATTTATGAGCAGCTTTATCAATAAATAACTAAAGCAAAAATAAAAACTGAAGAGATGTATAGGTACTGTGTAAAAGGCAATCATCTAATTGGATCTTCAAGCACACAGATGAAAGGAGGTTGTCACACAGACACTTCCTTAGCAGTTTGGCGATAAGGCAGCAAAAACGACCCCCTGCTAAAGCTGCCTCTGGCCGTTCTCAAATCACCACTCAGGCAGCTCAAGACAATTTGCGTTGTCATAAATAAAACCAGCATTGTGGAACCTCAGGAAGTTTGGTGCAATGCTGACATCAATGACTACACATAAAATGTGAGTTGGATGCCCCTTTCTATTCTTTCTAAACCAAAAATAGGATACGAATTCAGTGTCACATTCCTCTTGTTTGCTTCATCTTCTCTTCAAAACTAATTGTGCTTACTATCATTCATGCTTTAAGAGGGCAGTGTTATGCAAAGTCAACTTTTTTAAGCTTTATGTCATGTTGAATTCTTGAGTTCCTGTAGCAGCTATTTGGCGCTAATTATAGGATCTTGTTCTTAAATCTTTAGAGCATCTGGATAAACAAACAGCACCTACTCTATACAACACATAAACCAACTGACACTTTTATGAAAATTATCATTACAGTCTTGTCTCTACTTCACTAGTTGACCCAGAACCATGACATCGGTGGGTTGACTTCAGCTTGCTCATGCATTTGTCTCACATCAATCAAAAAGTGCTCTGATTGATTTTTAATATTGAACAATGTATTATGTCAGTAAACTCCTACAAAAGTGAGCATCCAAATTAAAATAAGTAACATCTGTTTTTAACGCCCAGTGCAGACCAAAGGAAGAAAAAAAACACAGCAGTGATGGAAACATTCACCACAGCATTGACTGCTAGACTGTAGCAGGTGAGCTTACAAAGAGCCAAAATGTCTCATTTTGCAACAACCTTCAGCTGAGATCAATCATATGTCTGGTTTGATGTAAAATCTCTCAACCACGTTTGAGAAAAAGACAGACTCAAAGTGATCTTTACAAGTTAACATGATCATTATGCTGGTTTCTTTTAAACTATAAAAAATATCCCCAATACATAGTTTGAGTCTTCATCAACATTTACTTGATATTTTCTCTTAAAACCCACTCTCAGCTGAAATTAGGGCTGACCTTTGACTCTGTTGCACAACACTGATAATGTGCAGCTGTTCTGACTGAAACCTCTTCTCAGAATTGCTTTCACTGGCTCAGCAAATGCACACACAGGCATGCTTCAGCACAAGTAGCTCACACACCCACGGCGGCAAATGCACAGACAAGTCAATCGCTTTTTTTGTTTGTTTTTCTACAAGCCTAACAGGGGAATACAGACAACACTGACCAATGAGGCAAGTAATGGTAAAACCTCTGAGTCGTCCTCTGTGTGTGTCTGAGAGACCTTTGATTTCCCACAGTGCAGAACATCACTGAAAGACCACTCATAAGCCTTCTGCTGCATGCTGCTCTCACCAGGCTTAACTTCTAGTTTATCACTTTACTAGACATGGGAATCTTTGCAGATAATAACCATCATTTCAAATCAGCCAGAGCATAAACATATTCTCCTGATAACTGAATCCAAACTCTATAAAGCAAAAAACTTTTTGTGGGAGGTTTGCCTGAATCGTAACAGCAAAACAAAAAGGTGAAAATTACAATCCACCGGCTTTGATTGTCATTTAGGTTTTCTGTTATCAAATGTGTGCTCTCGAAAATATCTCAAACGTCTTTTTAAGAACACCATCTGGACAGTTTCAGAGCAGTCTTACTGCATTTACTTGTTAAATCAAATTCAAATCTCTCTTGCATAAAAAGCTCTTACGCACCCAGTTCACTTTCAAGAAATGTGTCGACTTCTCACAGGTTAATAAATGCAGGTCTGTGGTCTGAAAATGCCCTGAGTAATAATAAAAAAAGAATGTTACAGAGTAGATTTAGCATAACTTTTTGATAGGAATGTCAATTTCCCTCAGCCTTTATTACCTCTTTTGAATCAATAGCAGCCTAACATTTAATGATGTCTTCATTTTCCCACAGCTCGACACTTCTGCGAGGGCCGTGCCGTTTAATTCAGCTCGTGTCCTAACAGCAGACGTGTGTTAAATTTTCATATCGGGTGAATTTCTGCAATAGGCTCAGAGTTTCCAGGGCCATGTATGACTAAGTGACACTTGCCATCATTATAACGGTAGCGCCCCGTAGCAGAGAGGCAATTCAATAATCGAGTTAGTAACTGAGCAGTGGATCAAACGACAAATCATGAAGGAGAGCTATGAGGTTTCACCTTTAAAACGCTGGATAAGTAGCCTCCAGCAGAATGAAATGAATTAGCACTTTAGTAACGAAGCAGAAAGACAATGATGAGCCAGTTTCCTGGTGAAGAAGAGCTATCCGTTTAAACACAGACAGAAACTTTTAATTGAATTGACAGAGCGAACACATGTGGGACCGGACAATAACACCACCTCCCCTGCAAGTGTTCTGTCTAAAGATACTGCTGGTATCTGCTGATCTTAGTTCAAAAGCTAAGCGCTTTTAGACTGAGACAGCATGATAACAAAGAACATGGCAATTAGTGATCCTCCAAGGCGCTGGTGGATGAACCTTGCCTCTGCAGAGCAGACTGATATCACAGTGTCAGGTCTGTCAGAGAAAATGGAAATAAAAGTGTTTCAACATGTCACAATTTCTCTTCTCATTTAATTAAAAACTTACTTATTTTAGTCATGCAATCATAAATTTTGGCTCTGAAAAATGTACTCATCCTTGATAAATTGTCAAGTTTCCATAAAAACAAAAAAAAAACAATTTCAAAACATTTCCCAGTACATTGTTACATTTATCTAAAAGAATCAACTGAAAAATAAACAAATGAAGGATAAATCTGAAATTGCTTTTTAAAAAAATTTACAATAACTTAGTGACATACAGTAACTGTGCAAAAACCTCAACTTACAATTTGGTAAAGCCCATTTTGATTCAATTCAGCATTCAATTGTTGACAGGAGTCTATCAGGATCCTAACTTTTTTCTTACCAAACATCACCAACTATTCCTCGCAACCTTTCTCCCAGTCAGATTGTGAGAATATCTCTTGTCCTGAACTCTTTTCACATGATTCCACACATGTTTTGTCAGACTCAAATCTGGCTGAGCTACGCCAAAACTGTCGGAGCAGGAATACTTCCCAAGAGTTGTTTTTAAGGGAAAAGATTTCTGGCGCCAGAAAAGTCGATCTGACCCAATTTTATCTGGAAAGTACAAAATGTTGGAACAAAACTCGGGTTGGAATGTAATCTGTTTAGATAGATAAGAACAACAATTATTATTGTTTTGCAGTTCTGAGATGCAGCAGATGTTCAGCTGAGAGGTCAGAAAGAAATTCGTGGAAACTCCAACACTGGCTGCCCATTGACTGAGTGTGTGTTGGAGTTTCCACAAATTTCTTTCTGACCTCTCAGCTGAACATCTGCTGCATCTCAGAACTGCAAAACAATAATAATTGTTGTTCTTATCTATCTAAACAGCTTACATTCCAACCCGAGTTTTGTTCCAACATTTTGTACTTTCTAGATAAAATTAGGTCAGATCGACCTTTCTGGCGCCAGAAATCTTTTCCCTTAAAAACAACTCTTAGGAAGTATTCCTGCTCCGACAAAACCAGAAGACAATCTCTTATAGATTTTGCTGTCTTCTTGGACATATGAGGATGATCAAAAGATATATTTCAGTGGTAATAAAAATGTTAATATTTATCTATATTGTTAAAAGCTTCAGATCCAACTAAAGATAATTAACAAGAGAGTTCATCGTCAGTTCAGCTTTACACTGTGGCCGGCATCCTATTCTGGTGACAGGGTTGAGGACTGACAGTGTCAGTACTTTGTGCTCTGACTCTACCTACCACCCCACCTGCACCATGCTTCATTTGTTATTAAAATCAATATAATATGTTCAGTTTTATAATAAAAATCGGAATAAAAAATCTCACGTGACAAAGCAGAGGAAGGAAATTACTCAGAAAATGATTAAGTTTCATTAAGATTTCAGTAACACAGACTCTCTCACTGTCTTCATCCATCATAAATGTTGTCCATTGTTCCAGATTGAGTCGCTGACGGAATCCAAACATGCAATTTGAATTTCGAGAATACTACTACTATATCCGCATATTAGTTTATTTCTTTTAATTTCAGAGATGTTTAAAGTAGTCAATTATCATCATCTCTCAGTGAATTCCTCTTTTTCAAAGTTTCTCTCCGCAAATGAAAATGAAACCTTCAAAAGGAAAAACCCGTTTCTCTCTCTGGCCCTGTCGAGATGATGCAGAGATTAACAAGCTAAAGGTTTACCCTGTCTTTCATCCTCCAGCTCTGTGCCAACGCCTTGGAGCCCTCGATCTTCTCCAAGTGCCTTTTCTTCATGAAGGTCAAAGGAAGCTTCCAGTCATTCATGTCTGCCTCCTCCTCCTCAGTGAGCCCCACAGCCGGGGAATGAAGCAAATCCGAGTCCATTTTCATCAGGGCCCTGTACGGAGTTAAAGGCAACAAATATGATGAGCCTTTGTGTGTAGAACAGTTTGAAAATGTGTTTATCTAGTAAATAAGCATAAGAATAATAAGTCAAAAGTATGATTAAAATAGACTTGATGTTTGCTAGTGCCAGATCTGGACAGATCCGATCATATTCTCTGCTATATGGCCACTTTTCCACACTTCACATAAAACCAAAGGTTAGAATTGCTCTAAAAATCCCTATTAAAAACAGACTTAATTTTACTTAAATATTTACCACAAATTTGATTTCAGTTTCTGTTATTCAGTCAAAACTTGGATGAGCTTCCTCTCATGAAGTCACCACAAAGCATGTGAGTGCTAAAAACAAACCATCAGGCTAAAGGACATTATTGCACAACAAGGCCGGAGCTAAAATGACTCCAGAGCCACGTCCATATACATCTGTTTAAACGGGAAAGTGAATCATAAATAGTACATCTGTCAAATCTGAATGTAATCACAGTTGGATCATGGATCCTTTAAAGAATGGTAAGAAAAAAAAATCACAGACAAAAACAGATACTTAAAGGTTAGGATAAGACTACAGACTGAACTGTATTTAGCTTTTGGTCGATCAAAAACGTTCTGCCTTTCTTCTGAGCTATTCTTTGACGTCATTCTCAATAAAAAGAAATGCAGAACTCAGTATTTAAAAACAGATTTTTAAAAAACTGAGAAATTTAAGGTCTTTCAAATTAATTCTGAAAAAAAATTCTACAGAAGCCGGACCTCTCTACTGCATCTGCTTTCAAAAACAGAATGAAAAAGTACGAAAAAAATAAACATCTGGAATAAAAGAAGCACAAAAAATTGGGAAAAATTATCTAAATTAAATTTTACATAAAAAATTCATCAAAACTTCTCAACCACATCAGTATTCATTTGCATGAAATCTGGTACATGAAAACTTTTAAGCAGTTAAAGTCTCATTTTTCAAGCAGCACATAAGGGAATTTCTCTACTAAAGAATCATTAAAAGTTATTTAAAACAATAATGCACATTTATGGATACAATTTGTTACTGAGGGGCTGCTGTATCAAAGCAGCCCCTCAAATTGATACCATTGTCCACATTTATTAGAAAGAAATAATTAAAGTAATTCAGTTCATTCAGATTATTCTCAACTCTTGGCTCACACAGTAACATTTTCCCAGCTTGCTTTAGAAATGACCTCAGGCAGTCTAAATGCAATGTAGTGTTTGTACACTGATAAAAGTTATAATACTTAAGTCAGTTATTACCACTGTCTGCTGAGTTTTGACTTTACAACCTCACATTGTTTGTATAACGATAAAGTGACATTCACTGATCTGCTATAAATTCTCCTGCTTAAATAATAATGTCAACTGACACCAAACCAACATTTGGCTCACAATTACAGTGATGTGCAAACTTCTCATCCAAAAATGGGGGAAATATTACACAACAAATTAACCTGCCAATCATATACTGTATGAAATGGTATCTATGCTTTCCTGAGCTTGTATGAAATGTTTTCTATTGACATTAAAATGGCTGCATTTTTTTAAAGATAACGTTTCATTGGGACACAAAATTCCTGAATTGATGTTGAGTCTAGATATGTGTAGACTCAACATACATGTAGCTAGGTCATTCAAAAAGCTAAATTACCTCCTTGGCATATCAGCAGCTTTTGCAAAGGCCTAGTCATTAACAATTCATTTGAATTAAGTGTGCTGGAGCAGGGATGCATCCAAAAACAGCAGGACAGAAATATTGAGGGACTGAAGTTACAAACTGTCTGTAACGCTTTGCTATTACAGACAATTTGCTTCCTCAGCTTTTCTTGAATGCAAAAGCAGAAACCATAAAAACATCCAAGCATTGCAATGTTGTCCCATAATTATTTTCTTCATAATTATTAAAAACATATTTAAGCTATTAGAGTTGCACCATATATGGAACCATAACTGTTTGCTGAATATTAGTGTGCAATATCATAATCACAAAGAGCTGCATGGATGCTATTTTTTAATGACATAACTAATAATGTGTTGTTTATGCCTGTAACAGATATTTGTTAATATGACCAAGATCATAAGGTTGATTGAGATTAGGTGGGGACATTGTGATGATGAAAAAAAAATAAACATTTGTTTGTTGTGAAAGTACATTGGAAATGATTTGCTATGAGAGACAGAATGGAAGTAGACAGGTGTAAAACCGCAAAACTTAAGACTTTGTTGGACATTACTGGTGGTCATACCTAACAAGATGAAAGCTTTTTGTAAAATAATTTCAACAATCTTAAGCTAAATAATTTAAGGAATCTGCTTTCCATTTTTCTAGCAGGCAAATACAACTTGAAGATGTCATGACACATACCAGATGCCTGCTGTTGGGGGTCACATGTACCAATATTCATCTCCTGCTACAACTTTGCCAAACAAAAGCTGCAGGCTGCATCCAGTTAGCTCCACTAGCCGGCTAACTCAGCAGCTGCTCCGCGCCGGTGCTGCTCCGACAGCCGCTATCAGTTGTCAAAATGCTATTTTAAATCCCTCCGTGTGGATCCTACAGCAACACGAGGTGAGAGGTGAACGAGGAGAAGCAGATATGCAGAAATGTCGGCCAGTGTTGTTAGCGAAGCGTGCAGATGCGTACCTTGGTGCGGCGGGATTATCAACCCTGGATGGGGAAGCAGCTCTCCGTCTCCGGACGATGACAGACACGGTGGCGCAGATAATCCTTGTCAGGAAACTGTAGGGGAGCGTCCAAAGCCGGTACAGGAGGTCGAATCCGTCAAAGGCGAGCTGGACGGGTGCGTGTTTGCAGGGGAACCTGCGGTTCCTCTCCCCGGGGCTCTTTGCTATGGGACGGGGCTGGAGACGAGGCCCATCTTCACACGGACAGTCTGCCACAGCCACGGGAAGAGACGGCCACACTTATCGATGCTGGGGGTCCCGCGGTGTTGCCCTGCAAACCAGCGACCCGAGAAGCTGATTTGGCTTGAAGGTTTTCTTGAAAACGACACACAGACCCGAGAATATCTCCGCAGAGGCACTTCTTCAGCACTTCAGCAAGGGCGCAGCCATGTTGGGTTCGACCCAGAATGCACCCGAAGCTGCCGTAAAACGTCATCGCCGTTTCCTGTCACGCACCAAAACAAACACACACCGACTGACACACCAACACGAATTAACACTCAATTCTCAAATTAAGTGGAAAAAAAAAAAACTAAATTAAATTAAAAATTTTCTGAGTGCGGCATGATTTTTAGGCCTTCCCCTTTTATTATGAGAGTAAATAAAACCCTGGGCAACTACCTTTAGAATAAATGCTCTAAGCTCTGGAGGCTTCAGAGAAAGCAATCATGGAGACCAAATAGCACACCAGAAAATTCAGGGATAAAGGTGTGGGGGAAAAATAAATTAAATTAAAATTAGATAGACCTGTGCCTAAGACAAATGAAAACAGAGGACTCCTTTATTCTCTGCCTGGGTCAGGTGTTTACATTTTTTTACTCTAGAACAACAAGAAAGAAGGTGCAGAAGGCTATAGTTGTTATTATGATTCCAAAAGACCAAACCTTTAAATAAACATGTTTCATAAAAGAAAAGAAACATTTATATTTATAATCTATGAAAAGAGTTACTGAGGCTCACTCTACCAGGGTATAGTTCTAATAATATTTTGGCCTTTAAGTTTGACAACAGAAAAACAAACAAATTTTGTTGAAATTTGTTGAAGGTTTTTTTTTCTCATGCAAAAACGTTGAAGACACATTGTAACAGAAAGATACAACCACATACGTGATGCTCACATGACATTTCTACTTGTTCAGTTGTTTTTCTCGTGTCGATTTGATTAGTTGTTAAATATTGGCAATATAAAGTACTTTCTATACACTTTAAGTGAACTTGTTTCAGCTGTTTTTCTTCCACTAATTGATGCATATTGATTGCGTACAGGTTTGTTTTTCTCAGAACTTGCGTGAGTCAGGTGAGCAGCGTGTTTACATGTGCTTTGACACTTATTTCTCAAACAGCGGGCGCTGAAGGTTTTGTTACTGAAAGATGACCTGTTGAGAGGAAAGAGCTGCTGCATCTGCATCCTGAAGCAAAATGTGGCAGCAGACTTTATGTACTCGCTCAGGTCGATCATGACTTCACAGTGTGCCAGTTAATTGAGAGAGTACAATCAACGTGTTTACCAGTTTGTTCTCAGTCGATGAAGAAGTTTGCTCTAAGGCCTTGATGAATTTCATTAAGCACGATGCAGTCTATCTCAGACACTAATGAAACACTGATGACCAGCAGCTTTCACTGGGCTGTCAGTGCATTGGGAAATGTAAAAATCCAAGATGGATGGGGAATTGAAATAGGGGGGAAAGGGGGAAAAACACCTTTGACACGCCTGTTGCTTGGAGCTAACTCATTGGTACATTTGACCTCATTTGTTCCTGCTGCCTTCAAGGCTTCAGTGTCTGCTTCTGCAGCAGAAAACCAATCCAATCACTTGGGTGCAATAGAGGTAGAGACCCCGGGTTGGCTGTAAAGGAACTAAAGGGGAGCTTGGTCTCCTTTCCTCATTCTTATTCGCTCTCCTGTCACACAGTGAACAGCATGACAGCCATGCTGGATGCTGGAAGCTCTCGCTAAATAGGACAGGAGCAGGAGAGGCTAAAAATCCCGTTTCCTCAGATTGATTGCTGCAAGGCAAGTGAGAGAAAAGAGTGATAAATGAATTCAACCAGGCTGGTGTTCATATGAAGAAGCACTGCATTCATGTAATTCACCAGTGGGCTACAAGAAACCAGAGATACTAGAGCTGCAAAAGAGCATCAATCTTTTTAAAGGATGTATCTCCACTCAGCGCTGTCCAAACACTGTTTGCGAGTATTGTTTGTCAGCGAGTATTAAACTGTTTTGGATACACATTCTCAATAAAACAAAAATGACTTTCTGTTTATAAAGGTTAATACTGATTTCTTTAATGGTTCTGTGTTCCATATCAAAGGTCCGAAACCAAACTTAAATAGCAGGCAAACAAAGACCAATGTTAATTAGACTCCCAATTTGTATTTTTATGCCATGTTTACAGAATATTGATAAAAACATATTGCTTCTGTGATTAATGCTTTGGGGTAGCTAAATGATGATAAGTATTTATTCTGTGATTGGCTCTGCTAATAACTTTAGCAATGAAAATTCAAATTCCCTAATTTTGTTTTTGCTATCAATTTGAACGTATTCTCTCCAAGCAGTGGGAGCTTTCATCATTTTACGGTAAGTGAAGGGAAATAATTTTAGTATCTTAGTTTGCAAGGCACATAGAGGGTCTTCAAACATGTTGACTTGGAGGGGCTGGACACTGATATTCAGTACATGTTTTAAGTCTAAAATAAACAAAAAACATTTCTTAACACTTTGCAGTTGTGCACTAAGCTACATTAATCTTTGAGATTAATGTAACAAAAATTTAAATTTTTGTTTTGGTAATGTGACAAAATGTGAGAAGTTCAAAAGAGTATCTATTTGCAAAGCACACAAATACATTTGGGTTGTGTAAGCGCCTTGTGTCTGGAAGGTTGTGGGTTCGAATGTTTTCCTAGCATGTTTAGATTCTTTCGAAGAACCCCAGCCTCATCACAAATATATGCATGTTGAGTTCTTCTTATTCCCCTTTGCTGATGTAGGTATCTCCTGTCCGAAAGCATAATCTTCTCAGAAGTCCACTCTAACCTACTACAAAGCAAATCTAAAAAGGATGCCATCTTTGAGTTCCCAGGTTTAAAGTATAAATGTGCTGGCTTACAAGGTTGCATAATTATTTAAAATCGACCCTGAATGTACAAACCCACACATCACAGATTTTACTATGTCATGAATTATTAAATAAAGATGAGGCCAAAATGAAAACTAATTGCTCTGCAAAAAGCCTTGTACATGTACAACATTAATAAAATCTCAGAATTTAATGGAAATTGTTTATTTTTTATGCACATTATTATCCTTGAAAGCTCACTTTCGTCATCATATCTGAGACATCTTGATGACTACGGGGAACCTGGGGCCAAAACAGACACCAGAATAATTCATCTTGTTTGATGAAACTTAACCAGTTCTTTCTGATGAGAAAAACACAGTGTGGGGAGAGAAATAATTTCCTAATGAACTGTATTTTTTTATGTGGTAGTTATTAATTTGACAGCTGAGTAGATTTAGAAATGAAGGGTTGTTAAACAAAATGCAATGTTATTCATATCTGAGTATTCAAACGCATTAAAACAAAAAGATAAAGGCACTTAGAATTTTGTTGTGTAATATGATCTGTTAGTCTTTTCAATAAGGCTCAAATTAAAACCAAAAGCATATAGCACATTGATATGAATGAAGAAAAAACTTCTTGTTTTGCTTTTTCAGTAACTATGGAAAATGGTGAAAATTTGCACTTTTGTCAGGTGTGCATAGATTTAAGGGCATAATCTGAAATATTAAGTCATTTTATAACATTTTTATTTTTGAAATAAAATAAGAAGTAGAGAAGTGCAGAACCACTTCTCTACTCTTTCATTTTCAAAGAAATGTCAAAAATGACTTCATAAAATCTTCAAAAGCTGCTATTACTTAATGAATGCTTCATACTCAGACTGACAGAATAATCAATATCAACTTAGGAAACCGTTCATTCATGACAACATATGGCATCACAAGCTTTGATCAATACATTCATATGGCGCCATACTGCAGCCTGTCAGCTGCTTAAATCTGGTGGTTGTTTTGTTCTTAATAAATATTGAGATTAAGACTTCATCAATCTTTTTGAACTGTTTTTCAGGTTGCAATCGAAAACAGTTAATGTCAAGTTTAAAAAAAAACTGAATGCACAATTAATTTCTTTCCATAGATTTCTTAAATCCACAAAGGGTGGAAAATCAACAAAACTTAATTAACTCTACCATTTCTGCCTTGAAGAGTGATCTAATATGCAGCCAGAAAATGACAGAAACTTATTTACATAGCTATAAAATTTGTGTGCATCTGAGAAAACCTTTCACCAAATTAGAATGAGTAATTTGTACATATAAATTAGACCCGATGTTCAGTGAAAATCCTAATAAATTCAAACTTGCTGAACCAATTGTTGGTTTTAAAATCATTGGATTTTATATTGGATGATCTTCCCCATATCATGATAAATGGCTAAAATTGATCATAGAAAAAACAAAATTCATCCAACAAGGGAGCAAAAAATAATTAGTAAATTTGTATTTACTGGGTTAAAAAAAGGCGATTGGATTCATTGAATGGACAACGTGATAAACCTCTCATGTGAATTTTACAATGACTGAGAGTGGTGGAAAGAGAAAGAGGCAGATGAGAGCCCCTTGACCTTGTGTTTTGGAGTGATACCTCCAATAATGGTGCTACTTTCTGTTCCACAAAGCCGGCAGTGAAGGGCTTTGCAGCACTTGAGGCTCATTCACACAGAGGCACTGATCATGACGAGCTCTCAGGGTTTTTGTTCCTCAGAGAAGGCCAGAGCAACATGCTCATACTCATTAAGTGAACAAGCTCACACTGTGAGATTGGAGGTGAGTCTACAGCAACAGCTCCCGCTCTCCACCTTCCCAAAAAGATGGAGTTGTGGGCATTTTGAAGTGCTAGAACAAAGGGGGGGGGGAGGGGAACCTATCATGGACCACTTAGGTGACTGAGATTGTGCTGCATTTCATGAAAAGTCAGAAAAACACTCATAATACACATGGCAAATGATTCAAGTGGACATGACAGATCAAACCAGGGACCAACAAAGAGTTTTGTAGTTTGTTGTTTTCTGTTTTTAATTAGATCTGATCATTATTAAAGCTACTTGATGAGAAAAGTGTCATAAGAATTTCAGAATTCAAATATATTCGGACATCTTGAGTAATTATGAATTTATTGAAGATTTTTGTTTTTGATTATCCAGTCAAGTATGTTGTTCATCTAATCCTAAAATACAAAACAAATGCAGACAACATGGGGAGAGAGATTAAGGGAAATTGGCCCAATTTTAGAGAAAAGCTCTAAAATCTGCGGCAGATCAGTTT